TATTATAATAGAAGCTTATTGACAGCTACCAAAAGCATCTTGTTGAAGTGCAAGTTACTAAGGGACATTTAACCAAATATTTGTAGGGACATATGTATATTGAGCCCGTATGTATAGTATTGATTCTGTGTAGATGAGAGAAAATCTAAAAGAAATTCAAACTTGTGCACCCAATTTTTGATTTTTAAAGTCAATAAAGATTTATCCTGTACGATCGTTCCACCCTGGAAAAAAAGCCAAAAATTACCATGGCATTCATGCCCATGTTGAGTGGATGAATATTTTCCAACCACAACTATACCTAACCTGTTTTAGTTTAAAGTTTGACCTATTGAAAATCCATAATGTTAAGTTAGCTTACAAACAAATAACTTAATATCCTTTAAACATGATTTACATACACACAAAGTGACATTTATCTTATCTGGAAAATTTTAAAAACAAAACAAAACAAAAAAAACAGCAGTATTTTATTTAGTTGTACGTGATCGTTTTTGCACTCCAGGTCAGACATTTGTAGACTTCAGAAAAAGTATGATGCGCTGACTCCTGAAAAGCATGCTAGCCATTATGAATGAGAAGTAGAGCCGGTCAGTTTGATGGACGTGAGAAGCTGCAATGGCTAATAACATACAAAAAAATTAAATTACTGATAACCAATCAGAAAACCGTATGCAAATATCATGCGGTTAAATTTCCCAGTCAATTGAGCTGAGTGAGTCTAATTTCAAGAGGACCTATTTAACTGGGATGCTCGTGCCGCGCAAAGATACTGCGGCATTTCCTTTATACTCGTTGAGTCGCAGCGCTTGGTTGGTATCGCTCCGCCGGCAGAGGAAATGCTCCTAGACCAATCACATCTGTGTTTACACCATCACCTGTCAAACACACACCCTCTGGTAGATTTTCTCTTTGAAAGGTAGGATTTCTATGTTTATTTTATCTTTACTTTTTAATGCACATATGAATGCATTGGGGGGAGTTAAAGTGTAGTTACGGTGGCGATAGAGTCGGTTCGCCTGCAAGCTACAAGCAGCCGGGATAGCAAGGTTAGCGTCCCGAGAGCTAGCGAGCTGGAGCTGGTTATCCGTCCGCCTGGCTTGTTTTTTAGCCGATTATCAGAAAGTCCTTGCGCCTAATCATGTCTGGCTGAGGTCGGCGCGAAGCGATGCGTGTTAGCTCAGCGAAAGTGGCTTACTAATATTTTGAGACCTTTAGTTTGCTTTTAACCGATGTTAGTTAGTTAGTACCAGCCGTGCAGTGCGTCCTCAAGCTAGCAAGAAATACATCAGTCGGCTGGAGAAAGGTGCGTTTAGCGAAGCGGTTAGCTAGCACCGTGCACGGCTGCCTTTTTTATTTAGCTGCTGCGACTGATAGTTATAACGGTGCTCCTATTTCCTCCGTTTGTTTCTAGTTTTCTCGCCTAATGTTAGCAAACTAACATCGTGGAAGCAGGTGGTGACCCACAGTGGGAGCCCGTTTAACCCCCACAACCCTCTGCGTGCTGCGAAGCACCACCACCACCATAACGGAAAGAGCATCTACTGCCAAAAGTCCCGCTTTTAAAACGTTCATTGTAGTAAAAACCACTTGTGTAATAGCTCCAAAATGTACCTGAAGTTAAATGACCCTAGACGGTTACATTACATTGTAACTGCATTAATTATTGCGGCTTCATTAATGTGTAAAGACGCATTTAGCAAGGAGCTAATTTCAGCTGCTTACATTATTGTATCTCGGATAGTTTGATCTGTAAGAGTGCTGCACGTCCATAATTTATAAGCTCTTCAAAAGATTGTTTTTATGTTTGCTCCCACTGTGTAAAGTCTGAGGGTATCTTAAGACCCCACTGCCACTTAATTATCCCTTTTATTTCCCCTTAAGTAGCTTCAATGTTAAAATGGTATTATGCTGTAATTGCCCTTTTAGCTTGTTCCATCCCGCACAAATATGATCCTGAAATATGACATTTAAAATGGCACTGCTCCTGTATCTGGCCAGCTGGTTGCTGTTGGACTAAAGCTATTAAACACACTTTCAAAAGACACTGCAGCTTTGCTTACAGGGCAAAAAAAAAAAAAAATTAGTGGGGCATCTATTTATTTATTTATTTTTTTTGTCACATGTGGTGTTTGGAAGCATTTGCTCTCAGGTTTCCTTAGCTGTTGAATTTGTGAAATCTCAGAGGGAGGATTGTTAGAGAGATGAGCAGAGGAGAGGGAGGGAATTGAGGAGGAGAGTGAATCAGATTGAGACGGTATAAGGTGCAGTGCAGTGTGGGTGTTTACCCAGCCTCCGTGCTGTAGAGCTGTTTGATTTACCTTTGCCCACTTTTAATCTTTCTTTTTATTTTTTCTTCCTGTGCATCCAGGAGCTGAAACACACACTCACACTGAAGCGCCTACGGTAGCCGCTAACTGGACGGACTCTCTGGCAATTGACCTTTTGCAGGTAAGCCTGGGCTCTCTTTCTACAGTTCTGGCAGACAATACTATTTCTGAATGATCACATCCTCCACAGCTTTGTCTTTAGAGGGTACAACTACTGGATCATTTGCAATGCGGGTGGACTTGAAGAGCTTGGTTCATATGGCATTCCTGAGAGCACACAGTCACATTTCAGGAGAGAAAGCTCGACTGGAGAGCTTCATAGATGTTAGATAATAAAACAATGTCACTGTTGTGCTCAAAATGACTCTCCACATGAAAAGGACTCATAAACATGCCTGTTTATGAGTGAGAGTGGAATAAAAACAACTGAGCTGTTAAAGCAAAAGTCTTATGAAGAACACCCCCCCCCCAATCACTTACATTTTTATCGGAAAGATAAAAAAACAAAACAAAAACTGGCTTAAAACAACTCAACAAAAGTTGTAAGATTAACTTCCTCAGCTGCTAATTGGACTCATAAATGTGTGCTTGTAGTATTCACTGATTTTTATTTTACTGCTCTGTTGCCATAAATAAAAAATATTCCCCTTAATCACAAGACTGTATCAGTGTTCCCAAAATGCACAGTTACAGAGTTCAGTGCCTGCCACCCCCTCACCCCCTCACCCCACCCCCTCGCATAAAGAACTTTATAGCTGCAGTGAAAATAAATGAAATGATGTGTTTCTCCTCAATAACATTTTATCTCAGATTACAATAGAAGTGATTGAAGTACACTGCATTCCTTTAATATGTTAATATTTATACTTTAAACTGCATAAAGTGTATGACTATCTCTATAACTCATTCTAAGGCTTGTCCTTGAGTTTCTGGACATCGCAGCAGAAATGGGGTGCTGTCTCCTTCTCATGTGGTCGAGGTGTAGCTTTAGCCTGCTGTGGGTGTAAATATACTGTGACAGCAGAGGATGCTGATGTTAAACATGGTCAAAGTTGCAGCGTATGTGCAGCTAATCCCTGTGAGCTCAGAGAGTCTTCAGAAAGTTTAAAACTTTTTATGAAGGGCAGCCAATCAGAAGAAACATGGCTTAAATGGAGGATGGCCTCAAAGTGAGAGGAGCTCAAATGACTTAAAATGACTTGTATATAGTGGATTAACTTAAGGGCCAAATAAGTATTATTTGACAACTTCTTTGAAGGTTTTGATTACACATTTTAGAATACTTGTAGCAAGAACGAAACGCTCTTTTTATGCCACTTAAGTTCATCACCACCTCTTTGCTGTCCACTCTGTGTGTGTTAAATGCAGAGGACAGGCTGCAGCTCGACTTTAAAGACCCGCCGAAACAGCGTCTTTGTTGTTGTGTTATCAGCGTCTTTATTTATGTGCAGCTAGATAAATCGATGTTTTTAGTCTAGTTGTGCATGAACCCCTCGAACCTTGAGTTAGCAGAGATCTTGGAGGTCCTGTGGGTTATGTTTTGGACTCACAATCCTATGGGACCCACTGTTGTGACGCGAGCCGAGCAGATCTGACCTGTGATAGTGCATCACGAGAAATGTCAGCAGCAGTTGTCTTGGACAGCTCTGAGCGTTTGACTTGTGATAACCCCATCCCCGAGGCTTCGCAGCACTGTGTGTTTATCTGACGCTTGTTAAGTGTTAATTGGAGCGTCTCAGGTGCAGCGTGCAGCATCGGTGCAACGTGGCAGAGCCACAGAGGGAGTGTGGTTCTTCAGGGCCTTCTCTAAGCAGTCCTAGAGAGCACAGGGAGGGAAACAATGTGAAAGCAATTTGATCGTAGTTAGTGCTTTATCAGTCTGAAATTTCATGAAAACACAGCAGAGCGTTTCCTCCTCTAAGGTTCTGATTTATTGTTTTTCTTTAAAAAAAAAAAATTCAATATTCCCATGTTTCCGTTTCAGTGGAATAGTGGAATAAGTCTTGAACCATGAGCTCAGTGGCAGTGTTGACCCCGGAAAGCTTTGCAGAGCATCGCAGTGGTCTCAAGGACCAGGAGATCACAGGTAACGACCTGCACCTTTCCACTTATTTTTATTCTTGCTAGAGTTTTCCCCTCACGAGCCCAAACTAGTGAGCAAATTATTAGCCCAAGTTTAATGTGTTTAGATTTTCTGATATGTGCATTATGTGTTTTTGACACAGGCTTGTTTGTATTTCTGTTTGGTATCTTTGTTGTTAACAATCCTTCCCTACACATACTGTTTTCTTACTCCTTCCTTGCCATTTTTATCTTTATCTCTCCGGGCCAGGCTGCGTCCCAGAGGATGAGGCCTACATCCCTACCTATCTGGAGGCCTTCCCTCCACTGCCGGAGAAGGGAGCACCAGGGGAGAAGGCTGGAGAGCCGCCTTCGGCATGGGGGAGCAAGATCAGACCCATCAAAGCCTCTGTCATCACCCAGGTGAGGAGCCCACTGTGGGGACTGCTAAAAGTGAATGAATGCATTTCTCAGCTCTTTTAATGACGATGGCTGTAACTGAATTTAGCCTCAGGCCTTTTAGCTGCAGTAGAGCAGGGCCAATGAAAGATGCATGTTCTGGGAACAACAAGCAAGAAAAAACACTTTCAACTCGTCTGTACCCAGGTGTTCCACGTGCCCCTAGAGGAGCGTCGTTACAAGGACAACAGCCAGTTTGGGGAGGGCGAGGAGGCCAAAGTGTGCTTGGACATCATGCAGCGAACGGGAGCGCACATCGAGCTGTCTCTGGCTAAAGACCAGGGCCTGTCCATCATGGTCACTGGCAAAGTGGACTCTGTGATGAAGGCTCGCAAAGAAATCGTAGCTCGATTGCAGACACAGGTAAATGCACTTGTACTACTTATAGTATAATTAAGTGATCTGGATTTGGAAAATATTGGGAGGATATACACATATGTAATTTTTTACTTTCTGTCTGAAAAGCTGGTCAGAGTGTGTACAAGTAATCCATGCGAGCAAAAAGTTATTAATGCTCTAACACAGGGATGTTAAAGTCATTTTACATAGTGGGCCAGATCAGCGTAACTGCCCTTTCTGTCAGTATAAAGAGATTTAACTCAACATATGAGATGGTTATGTTTAATTTTTTTTTTAAAGAAAAAAGACAGAAAAGAAGAATTTCAACAGTCTGTGTAAGGTTACATAAATGTGTAAAACTCTGTTAGCTCATTGCCCAGAGTGTGCTGTATTTATAACACATACAATAAAAACAAAAAGTTCTATAGTAGATGCTGGAAAAACAGGAACTTTTCAGTCATTTAATTGTTCATCTATTACTAAACTCTTTGGTGTGGAATGAATGACGCTGCAGGTGGAAACTTTATCAGGAGGAAAATCTGCAAATCTTAAGACAATAGTTTGATACGTTATTAATAGCGCAAGGGAAAAATTTTTCATTTGTTTAAAATCGATGTACTCCTGTTATCTGAAGCCTTCCAGTGGGCCAGATTGAAGTCTTTGCTGGGCCGATTCTGGCCTTCAGGCCTTATGTTTAATACCCCAGCTCTGTACGATGTTAAAGAGACAGGATATCCTTAATATGGTCATCTCAGGTACACAGCGTTGGCCGCGAGCACAGGAGTTCCATCTGCCTGCTGTTCGAACCTCTTGTTTGTGAGGGGCAACCAATCAGAAGACAGTCTGTTGTCAGTATTTGTGCAGTGCAGGCTTTACATTTGTTATTCATTCTTGTGTGACTTGCAAAAACAGTGAAACCTCTGAAACTCAGATAAACTTAAACCCGCAGCAAAGAATTTGAATATGCAGCCATCTATCTTTGAACAAAAATCACTGTGAAGCAGAAACATCAGAACAGTCTAACCGGTGGCTAAAAAATGTTTTTGTTTCGCTCTGCTTAATGTTGAAACGTGATCCAAAGACACACACGGAGGGCAAATACCGGCTGCGGCTCGAATAATCCTATCAGGCCAGTTTAGGACAAAAAGTTGAGCCGGAAAATGACCATCAGCTCCCAGGGGTGGCCTTTGTGAGCCTCAGCAGCAAACATGCTGATTTCCACTTCAGTTGGTGCACTGAGGTGCAGCCCTTTAGCTGAGCTGCAGTTACTGGTTGAAAAAAGTGCAGAGGCTCTCTGTTCTCTTTTCAAGGACGAATGCTTTTTACCAAGTTTAAAGAAAACTTTGATAGTAGGAATTTTATGTCATCCTGTTACTTTCCCTGGTAGATGATGACTATTAAAAAAAGGTATTTTCTGCATATGTCTGCACATGTGCACAAAGCCTCCACCAACATTAGAATTAAAAGGGATTTCTGTGGCTGTTGCTGTACCCTGATAAATAAGAGGGCTTATTTCCTTTGGGAAACACTACAAATCTAACTTACTTGCTCCTGAAAACTTTCTCCTGCTCCTCTAGGCGTCGGCAACGGTTGCCATCCCCAAGGAGCACCATCGATTTGTCATTGGGAAGAACGGTGAGAAGCTGCAGGAGCTGGAGCTGAAGACTGCCACCAAGATTGCTATTCCACGCCCCGACGACCCCAGCGCCAACATTCGCATCACCGGCACCAAGGAGGGAATTGAGAAGGCTCGCCATGAGATCCTGCTGATCTCTGCTGAGCAGGTCAGACATGGGTGGGTGGATAGGGGGGTGGGGGTTGTTTTAATAACTAATTTCTGCTCAACCAAAACTAATTGGTCTTGCAATGTGAAAAGATGCACAAACAGTAGCTTTAGGAACTAAATTGTTTCTTACTATTCAATATTGAATCGTGTTGAACCATCACCATGACTTTACGTTTGATCGACTCTTCTGTCTGCCGTCGTTCTCCTGCTCTTCCTCACCCACTCACCAGGACAAGCGTGCGGTGGAGCGTCTGTCCCTGGAGAAAGCCTTCCACCCCTTCATCGCCGGAGCCCACAACAGGTTGGTGCAGGAGCTGAGCCTTGAGACAGGGGCCCGCATCAGCATCCCACCGTCCAGCCTGCCTAAAGACGAGATCGTCATCACCGGCGAGAAGGAGGCGGTCGCGCTGGCTGTCAGCCGCATCCGAGCCATCTATGAAGACAAGGTGAGACTGTTTTCCAGAGATTATTCATGCCCATCCTGCAGACATGGGACATGAGCGACTTTAAGTCCTCTTAGGTCAAAACCCCCCCCCAAAAATCAGATGCCCTGTTATGTTTACATTGAGTTAAAAGGTCAAAGGTCATCTCTTCCTCCTTTCAAACTGCCCAGACTATCAGGAGATTGAAACCCAGACCTTTGTTGGCTCGACACATTTTCATATTTAAATTTGTATTTTTCAATTGTATTATTTCTTGGTAATACTAGTCTGTGTTTGTGGAGCGACTGTCTGATCACATTTGACTACCAAAGTGTCAGTCAAATGTGGTTCTCGAAGAAACACAGACACGTGTTTGAATTAAAGATAACAGCTAAGTGCTCTAGTTGTGCTGAATTTAAACCTGAATTTAGCCTTAAAGGTTTTGTAGCATTATTTGTTGACTAGACAAACTTTAAACCTCAGATTCATAGAAAATTGTTCAGAATAAAGGAAGTCAGCGTTGAAGATGGATTAAAGTCAATCTTTGCCTGAACAGTTTTTACTGATTGCTTTTAACCAAATTTAGAGAGAAAGGGAAATTTTCTTAAAGGCCGTTACTGTCCAAAGAGATTGAGCCAGAAAACGACCTCCACTGATGTCTGCTGCTTGGTGGGATCATGTATGGTTGTAAATTATGTTATTTTTGCAAATTTGGGGCCTTAAACCTGATGAACTTTACCCCCTAGAATTGTGACCTTTCTGTACCCATGATGCTGCCTTTTTAGCATTTTTTTATATTGTTTGTATTAGTTGATATATGTCTTCTTTATTTCTGTATTTTATAGATGTGCAATGAGCTACTGTATAGCCACCTTTACCCAATAAAAGCAGGTGTAACAGATTTATATAAAAGGTCAAATGTCAGATTCTTTAAAATAAAAAATCAGCTTCTTTAAAATATCCATGTTAAGCGGGGTGAGGGGGGTTTAAGTGTGTCATTGGTTGTGCTGTTACAAATGTTTTCACAGTTATGCCTTTGTTTGTGTACGCGCTCAAAGTGAAGCGTTTCTATGCCGACAGCATGCTAGCGTGTGGCTGTGAGCGTTCATGTGACTATTTCTCTGAGCTGCTGTTCATGTGTTTCAAATTTATGACTGGCTCATTATTGGACATATGGGAAGCTGAGTGGCTGATTGGAAATCATCCGATTCTGTCTGCTCCATCAATGCCTTTCGTTTTCCTCTTTTTGTTTTTGTGGTCCACTTGTTTGTGTCATTGAGCTTAAAATACTTAATTTGCATCAGTAATCATGATGATGTGTTTTTGTTTTGCTGTTGTTGTTGTTTTTGTTTTTTAAAAAACACAGAGTCAAAAATATAAAATAAAGACTTTCCGTATATGTTAGGGGCATTTTGGTCAGAGTAAAGCAAGTTCGGTCATCACACTGTTCCTGTGTGTCTTTGTGTCTTGTCCAGAGAAAATTTACATCACAATATGCAAACCATGCATGTGCGTTAGATTTCAAGTGGACTTGCAAGCAGTTTAACAGGAATAACGACTCCAGCTGTATTTGTCCTCAGAATATAATCAAATCTTTAAGATTTTGCAGAAATCCAAACAAAGAACAAAGCAAATGATAAAAATAGGATCACATCCTTAATAAAGGGGAGTCTCATGTTTGTTATTTTCATGCATGATTTTTATTTGCTTTTTTCAGTCGTTTGTGCCAGTTTTTTTCATCTGGGCTAAATTTGCATTGACATTTTAGACGCTCGGGTGTTTCTGACTCGCTGTGGGAAAGCAGCGCGCGGTTTAGTTTAGGTTTTTACTGAAGGACACGCATGACTGCAGGCAGCTCAGTGCGGTTATTTTGTTTCACCAGACTTGTTTTACTTGTTCGCTCCATCCCATGAACCATAAAGCTAATCTGTACCAAAGGTGTTTGATTTAGTGTGTTTCTGTATTTAAGGAGGTTATTTAGAGTTTGTGCATTCTCTCAACGTTAAAGAAGCTCTGTGAGATGGATGGGTGAAGCAGAGGAACTGCGTGTTTGTAGCAGATGAGCTCCGATGATAGGCAAGCCGGAGATAATGACGAGAAAATTGGATTTCACCAGAGAACAACAGGATAAGAATGCTAATGTCATTTAGTGCATATGTATGATTAGCAAAAACAAATGTACTTTCTCTGCTGCCTTCCCACTTTCATCTGTCAGTCACCCTCCTTCTGTTCCCTTCTCCGACTCCATCCCCCGGATTTTGTCCGGTCTTTCTGTTACTTGACTTTTCCCATCTCCTTCCTGCTTCCCTGATTTCATTCTTCTTTCTGTCTCCTCTTATGTTTCCATCCATCCCTCAACGAGCTTCTCGATTTACCCGCATCCTCTCGCCACGATTGTCTTATCACTTGTTCATGTCCTCCTCGCAGAAGCGGAAGACCACGACTATCTCTGTGGAGGTGAAGAAGTCTCAGCATAAGTACATCATAGGTCCGAAGGGCAACACCCTGCAGGAGATCCTGGAGGCCACGGGGGTGTCGGTGGAGATGCCTCCTCTGGACTCCAGCTCAGAAACCATCATCCTCAGAGGGGAGCCTGACAAACTGGGACCAGCACTCACACAGGTCTACGCCAAGGTGAGAACACGAGAAAACTGTAATTAAAGGACAGAGATGGGGATTGCATTTTGCTTAATGTAATTAGCTTTTGTTATGGCAGAAATGTAGGGAATAAAAGTCCCTGAAGTTGTATTTACAGGGTACATCCAAGAGGTACTCAGACGGCCTAGATTTCCTTTTTTTGAGACTTTATGTTTATCTGTATTTATTTTTAATAGTTCAGAGCAGCAAGATTAACAACCTAAGCAAGTACATCACATCCACATCTTTACAGTGAAAGAAATTGGGGAAGTTGGGCAATGACTAATCTATATGTAGTTTATCAATATTAGAGGCAGGTCCACCAGGTCAGGATACGTACTCCACCTCACCCTGTGTCTGAAACAAGCTGCTTTAGCTTCCGTGACCATAAAAGGAAATCCGTGGTGAGCTGAAGTCGGCTCGGTACAAGCATTGGAGACTGAGCGTGTAGAGTAGTCTGAAGCCTGAGCTTTGGCTCACAGGGATTACTTGCATGTACACTGATCTCATTTTAAATATTTAATATGGAAAGAAGGAAAAGCCTAATATATCCCCTTTATTTTAAGTTGCAACTAAGCCATTGCAGAAAAACGATTTCTGTGATTTGTCAATGCAAACATGGTTTTAATGTTTTGTACCCATTCAGGCTAAGAGCGTAATGGTGGTGGAGGTGACTGCCCCCGCCTGGCTGCACCGCTTCATCATTGGCAAGAAAGGACAGAACATCGGGCGGATCACACAGCAGCTACCACGGGTAAGGAAAGGAGAACAAAGAAGGCGTGGGGTGATCTGAGGTAAAAGCCAGAGATAACACAGAAGTCTCACATCCTGCTCCTGCAGCGTGAGACAGAAAGCTTTGTGGGGAGGAGGCTGTGTTACGGCAGCAGTGTTTGTGCAAAATGGGACCAGTAAAGCAAAAAATGCTGGACAAAACACAGACAAAGAAAAGTGACTGCGGAGGACACTTGATTTTAGAAACTTGACATCAGCTGAGATGAATTACAGCATGGAAGAATCAACACAGGACGGAGCAGAAGGGGGAACTTCCTAACTGGCTTGCCTTTATTCCTGTCTGTGTGTGTAGGTTCACATAGAGTTTACCGATGGCGAGGAGCGCATCAGTCTCGAAGGGCCGACGGAGGAGGTGGAGCAGGCTCAGGCCCAGATACAAGAGATCATCAAGGACCTGGTCAGTGCAGACACACACGTACACCAACACAACAAAGCTACGGTAGACATGACGTGTATTGTCTTCTGTCACTGAAAGAAATATTGCTGTGTTGGACAAAGCTTTGGAAGAGCTGCACACACTAATGTGCAGCTCTTCTCTGAAGAGAGATAAGAGATGATCACATTTGATTGGTTGAGTGTTGGTTCACATTTATAAATCCAAATCTCCTTTTTCTTACCCGGTGTCCAGCTGGTGAGGATGGACTACACCGAAATCAACATAGATCAGCGTTTCCACAGACACCTCATCGGAAAGAACGGAGCCAACAGTGAGTCGATCACTTTACCCCTGACCTGAAAACTAAACTGTAGTAAATCTGTCATACTCCCAGGTGGAGCCCTTGTTGCACCTCATTAGTTTGTCTCCCTACCTGCAAAACTAACAAAGAAAGTGTTTTTAAAAGAGCTTTTATTTCATGTTTTATATCATGGTAATGATCATTTGATCCACACATATCGGTGTATTTAGATTTTTCCTGTCAGTCATTCTAGTTGCTTTTAGTTTAGATAATTCAAATGCTGCCTGGGGTAGAATATTTAATGGAAAGCATCAAATTCAGGGTTTTGGGTGTGTGGCTGTCGCTGATCTCAGACTTCCTGCAGTGTTTGTGTTGTAAAGCAGGAAACTGGATTGTGAGTCATGAG